GCCAGCTCAACCAGGTGAGCGATAGCGGCACCATCATCCAACACATTTAACATGCAAAAGCCAAGTTGAGTTATCTCAGCTGATTTGTAATACATACAGGTGACTAATTAAAGGAAAACCCAATATCAAGTGTCTTAGTAGCGTGTTGAGCCGCTACGTGCCACCAGAACAGCTTCAGTAAGCCTTGGCACTGACTTTCCAAGTCTCCTAAACTCTGCTGTCTTTCAAGGTGTTTCCTCTTTTGGTGTTATGTTGATGGTGGACAGTGCTCTCGAACATGTGTTGACTGTGGAAGCTACAACGTGATTGATGATCAAATCTATGGATGGAGCCACTGATCTCCTGTAAGAGACCACTCCCATCAAGATAGAAATGTTTAATTCTAACATCAAGATGATCACTCAGAACAGCTTTGTAATGATGTGTAGTGACTCTTTCCTCTGAGGGGACAAGTGGACCCAGACCATGCATAAGGAAGCCACTGGATCGCTCAAGGGTTTTCCTTTAATTTGTCCCTCCTCTAGTGTATAAAGTATTTCCCAAAATGTCAAACTTTTCCCTTAAAGGTTTTTACCATATTGGCCAGTAGACTTTGTTTCAGGAGCCAGTCCAGCTGGTTGAGCTCCATAAGGCAGCTGTCCATAACCTACAGAGGTAAATAATAAAGAAAGGTTTGAGGGTAACAGGCTCATGACTGGAAGAGTAAAGCAAATAAATCACAAGTACAGACGCACCATATTTGCCGGCAGTGTTTCCATTACTGCCAAGACCAAGAAGTTGCCCACCGTTGGGAAACCCACCGTATCCTGAGCACAGATGAGCATAGTGTACCGAGATCACAAACTCCTAGAATTAAGCCTTTTTTACAGTCAAGTGTAGATTAAATAACACCTCATGGAAAGATTATTTAAGAGTATTAGTTACAGCAAAAGCCCTTTTTATTTCCTCACACTAACCATATTTTCCTGCTGCAGGATCCCTTCCCATGCCAGCACCAAGGCCACCTGCAAGCATGTTGAATTAACATTATCTGAAGCAGGGTTTGAATTATATTTTATATACAGTCTTTGATGAGAGCTCCAGACAAAAATGTTCTCACCATATTTTCCTGCTGATTTACCATCACCTGCAGGCCCATAGGGGCTAGCTCCATAACCTGGAGGGAAATGAGGAAAACAGTTATGAAACAGAAAAAAATGTGACTCTACTGATTCTCAGAAAGCTTTAATTATGCGTTAAAAACACACAATTTAAGGCATGCAGACGTACCATACTTTCCTGCACTATTCATTCCTGTGCCGGCGGGCTGACCTCCAAACTGTAGTCCTCCAATGCCTGTATCAGAGTTTAGAAGAAAATAAGAGAAATGACCTTACTTTTGAGATTTATATGGGAGTTCTGTGCACCAACAAGAAGCTGAATGTTATTTTATATATTATATATGTTAGCTATAAACTCAAAAAGCCATAAATGTGACTCCTGTTTTCCTTCCAAGTGACTCACCATACTTGGCGTTGGATTTCTCTGCACCCATTCCAAGTGTCTGACCTCCAAAAGGCAAGCCGCCCATTCCTGTAACATTAGAGAAAGTTCTGGTTTAACGCTCTGCTGTACATACAGGTGTGTCGCTTCTTTTTTTCTCAAGGTGACTTTGTAAGCAGGGTTCTGTAAGCGACGGATCTGAATGTGTTAAGTTATACATACCGCCGTACATGCCGCCTAATTTTCCATTCGGACCAAATCCAGCAGACTGAGGCTCAAACTGACTCACTCCTACGCAAGAAACAAACGTGTGTGTCATATCTTTTCGGTTTTACACCTTTGATGCTGAAAGTGTGGAATAATCAGATGAGTACAGTGAGAGCAAACACAGTGGAAAATCTGAGCTGGTATGAATGTATGAGTCAGAAAGATTTGTGCATCGAGAGCACGTCTGAGGTGGTCAGTAGCACGCTGCTATCAATCAATCAGAGTTTTACTCTATGGAATGAAGGAGTTTTCAATATTAATTCATATAATAGATTATTCTGACTGCTGTTTTGACTTTTACATGATGACGAGATTTTACCATCGAGTCCGGCAGGAACTACTGGGGCTCCGTTGTAAGGAATCTGTCCGGCTCCACCTGCAGAATCAGCATCAATAGATTATTACTCTTTCACACCCCATGTCTTGTTGATCAAATGTACTTCAGCCTTGTTTTGTAATTATCTGTAAAGCTGTAGTAGGCAGAAATGTGGAAAAGGCAAAAAAACAATTCAAAAATACATCCTTTGTCCTGCAGTTCTTCCCTGTCGGTCCTCACAACAGATGAGCACATGCACACACTTCAAATCAATGGTTTAAAAGTTAACGTCACTTGTGACACTTTCCTGAATAAACTGTTTAACCCGTTCAGCCACCACATCATATTCCTGCTGCTAGCTTTGGAGCTCTTTACTCAAGACAAGGTTCAGACTTTTAGTTTCCTAAGTTTCAAAACACTGAAGGAATTCTTTGCCCAGTGAAACCAAACAAGTCTGCTTACTCCAGCTTTAACAGTATCCTCGTTCATCACCCATACTGTACCTGATTTACCCTCTGCAGTCGGCACACCTTGACCAAGACCTGGGCAACAAGAGAAATGCTGACTTTAGTGTAATTCACAAAAAAATGAAAACAGATTTTCCGAATTAACTTCATAAACTGCTCTTACTTGCATAGTCAGGCTGCACACCAGCACCATAGCCGTTTCCATACCCTATAAAAAATCAGAAAGTACCTTAGTGATCACAGCTTAAACTAAAACTAGAGCGCAGCAGCTACTAAATCATAGATTCATAGTGAGTTACGTGTGTTTAGTGATTCAGTCCTACCTGATTTAGACTTGCCTGCTTCACTTGGAGCCACATTTCCTGAGAAAAATGGCAAATTTTCAATAAAAACTCAGCTCTAACTAATCACCAGCTAACAAAAATGAATTAAAAGACGACATTTAAAGCTTTTCCTTTGGAACTGCACCTCCATATGAGTTCCCATTTCCATATCCAGCTCCAAGATAAGCTCCTTGTCCATAACCTGCAAGCAAACAGAGCAACTATCAGATTGTATTGGATATTTTAACTCACAGTTTTTTCCCCTGTTATCAGACTGAATGGCTCTCATTTGAAAAAAACAAAAACAAAAACAACTTACCAGGTTGTTGAGGTTTCCCAGCGTAGGGATACCCAAGCCCTGCAAACAGAGATCCAGTTTAAATATCACATCAAAATTAAAAGTGAAAAAATGCAACAAAGAAAAATATCAAAGCACTTTCTTCACATTAACTTTGCATCGCTGGTAAATGTTACCTGCTCCGTATCCATTGCTGAGTCCAGGGAAGGTGTAGCCTCCTGCTCGAAAAGCTTTAGACAAACAAATCAAATGTAAGGGCTTCACCTTCACACGCTTTTTATTTAAAAGCATCAAAGCAAGTCGCAGGAAAAACGAAAAATGAAATGCACATTTATTTAAATTACAAAATAATTTCAAATTTGATTAAACTTATGGCCTTTAAAGTGAAGCAGTATGTTCCCAAAAGTACACGCACTTCATACAAAACATATGGATAGTTTATTTTATTGGGCTCTTTACCTGGTTTGTTTGCTTTAGCTCCTCCTCCGTTTGAATATCCTCCTGCACCGGCACCGTATCCTGAACAACAGCATCACTGTTACCGAGTCTGTATAAACTTCCTGCTTTTATATCATCAATAAACCAGCAGGATGTTTCAATGTTTATTTGCAAATTGCACCATATTGAGTATTTCATTCAAATAATCATTGAAAATAAAGAATATAGCATATTTACCATTGGGTTTAGCACCAAATCCATTTTGTGCACCAGTTCCTGCTCCGTAACCTAAAAACAATGAAAGAATCATAAATAAATGAAATAAAAATAAACAATAGGTTTTGTTAACTCAATAGTGCTCTGCCACCAACTGACTCATTAGTACCTTTAGTATTTGTGCCACCGGCTGCTCCAGCACCTCCATTATAACCTCCAATAACAAAAAACAATTAGTTTTCAGTAATGTTGATGTAAAGTTTCCCTGAGCCACTTAAAAACTTTATTTATTCACTTTTTTATGATTTGTGTGTGTGGTGGCTGCAACACTGCAGTTTCCCTTTGTTAAGGATTTTATCTGTCTGAGGTTATTGGGACAAGCAGTAAAAGTGACATTTCAGAAGCTAAAAACACAATTACACCACTGAATATAGTGTAGAAATCATTTTGGGATGCATCAGCTTAACTCTCAGCTTACCAGGTCGAGGTATTTTCATCCATTGTCCGTTTGGTACTCCTGATGGTCCACAGTCTAGAACACCAACATGTAAAGAAGCACAAGTCAAGCATTTAAAGTAAAACAAACACATAGATGTGTATATATGCACAAGAGGCACACTTTGAGTTATTGAATGGTCCTTTCACTTTGGGTTTTGAGGATATAAACCAAACTATAATTACTTATTGCTTGAAGAACAGAGACAAACATTTACCGGGATTGGCTGGTTGAGCTCCCTGTCCCTTGGTGACTCCTCCATTCTCTGAAAGGCAAAGACTAAAAGTTCAGCATCTGGCTAGAAACGATCCATCACCAATTAACCTCAACATGTTTTTGGACCTTGTGGGAGGAAGCCAGAGAACCCAAAGAGAACCCACGCTGCACGGGGAGAACATGCAAACTCCACACAGAAAGATCCCGGGTGTCCTCACCGGGATGTGAACTGGCGACCCTCTTGCTGCGAGGCAATGATGCTAACTAATATTCTACCTTGCAGCCCTCATATATATATTTTGTGCACATATTTCTGCTGTTGCTTGTGTTAAAATATGTACAGCACTTTGGTCAGCTGGTGTCATTTTAACATAACTTCCAGTCATCATGCTGAGCTAATTAAACTGTCTGCTAACTTCATATTAACAGACAGCTCTGAGAAGGATCAGTTGTTTTCTGTAACTAATACACATATTTCTCAGACAGTTGCCTCAAAGGTGACGCAATCATTCTTTCAATACACAATATATGGCAATATTAGGTGACAAAAAACAAACAAAAAACCCATTTTGAACACAAGTTATTGGTAATTTTGTGGACAAGACAAGAACATGCACGACAGAAACACAAATACAATTTTTAAAAAAAGAAAACAAAAAAAAAAAAACCACGAAAAATTAAAAAGGATTATGACCAACATTTGCCTCATTTTTATACCAAGAATTTATGAATTCCAACCTTAGTGGGTCTGTAAATATGTATAAATCATATTTATTATGTGTTTAAGTATTAGAGAAAAGTTAGAATGAACCCAAGTGATTAAAACAACAGAAGTCGTGCAGCTTGATGAATCCTGTCAGATCACAACATAAACAGACTTAGAGTTAGGATAACCCCAGGATTCAGTCCACATTTACACATGCAGTCCAACTCTAGTAAACACACCCAAATCAAGATTTCGTTTACCGGTTGCCCCAGCTTTCCCTGCAGGGAGATGTTTGACCCCGAGCCTGTCGGGTCCTGTGTCCGGCCGACTCTTGATGTTTGCTTCCTCTGGCACGACTTCAGGCAAACCCGCAGCCACTGTTTCTTCAGGAGTGATGCTCCCTGAGCTTTTGGCCGCCACTGTTTCAGGAACAGCTTTGGTTTTCAGCGGTTTGGTGCTTTCGGAGACAGCATCTGTGGTGCTGTCTACCCCGAAAACAACATCTGCCTCTGCAGCTTTTTGCTCAGGCACAGCGCTTCCAGTCACATACCCTAGAGGCCATACGTTTCATTAACATTTATGAATATTACTTTACTGAACCTTTTCTAAGAACCCAACCATTTACACTGATAAACACAATTTACACACATTTGTAGAACTTGACACAGATGCTAATTATTCCATTGGGAGGCAACTTGAGCGTACAGCCTCGTGTAGTCAGAGTTTGAGGTCAAACAACCAATTCTCCAGTGACACTTGTGTTAAATAATGGAACCAATGACGACAGCCTTTAGTTTCAGGTCGAGGGTACTTGCCTTGAGGGAAGACAGCTGCCGGCTCTGGTGCAGGTCCAGATGTGGGTCCAGCTGCAGGCTGAGGGTCGCTGGTTTCAAGAAGTACCGGTGCTGGTTCTGGTGTGGCCTCAGGGATTAGCGGCGTCTGTTTGTAGCTTTTTCCTTGTGGCACTGGTGAAGGCAGCTTTTTGTGCTTCTCCTGTGTGACCATAACAAGGATGCCACTGGTGGGCTCAGGTGCAACCAGCACTGCAGCTTCAGTTAGAGCTTGCTGAGGTGCGACGCCCTCCTCTGGTGCTGCACTGGGCTGCTGAGGAGAGAAAACTCCACCTTTAAGGCCTTTTTGATTGGAATCTCCTGCCCCGTTTGTAGCTTGACCCTTTCCATTTGGCATCACTCCATAACCTGAGAACCAAACACAGATATGTGGCTGAAAAACAAACTGAAAAACCAACAAGAGCAGAAATTAAAGAGTTATAAAATACAGTAGCTTTTACCGGCATTGGCAGCTTTAGCCAACGGTCCATTAGGTACACCGCCATAACCTGGGAAACATAATGCATTTATAGTCAAATTTCCCATAAACACTGCCAACGATATAAAGACGTGACCTCGAGTCAATGAATGCAAAAAATAAAATGAGGCAAAATGATGCTTAAAGTTTATTTGCATCTTCTGTTTTATATGTTTGCTGATAACATCATGATTCCTCCTTTTCTTAATACCACTAATGTAGCAGCACTGCTCCGGGTGTTTGGACAACACCAACACCGGTTGTGTTACATAAATGCTGCAGATTTCTTACCATTGCCAAGTGTTTTCACACCTTCACTGGGTGAAACTGCTCCTACTCCTTTGGTATTTTTTTGAGGTTTTGAGCCTCCGCTTGGTCCTCCATATCCTGCAAACAATGTTTTAAAATGTTACAACAACAACAATGTTGTAGATGACTTTCTTGTGCTCCTATAAATGAATCCACATCCGCATTTCAGCATGACGGAATACAACAATACCTGCCACACGTCAAATTCTACTGATGTCAGTAAGCCTCAAAGGTTGGTGACATATTGATCAAAGACCATATTTTTGGATATATCCATATATATACACTTACATGAGATTTTTGGGACCCTAATTTAAATGTTTTTTGAGAGTGAAATTGCAGAAATTGCCATGGATGAAAACAGATTCCCAATTCTCAAAATTCAGCTAAATTATTTGGTTGTGGGTCCCAAATAACAAATAAGTAAACAATGACTGAGATAGTGGAGCAACACGGCTATCTAAAATGACAGACCGGTTAAAAAATTACATCCACAGCTCATCTTCTTGAAATTCAAAAACAAATTAGTCATTAAATAGCTGAAACTCACCGTTAGATTTACCTCCATATCCACCCAGTGGGGCACCGTTTCTAACTCCGTGACCTGTGAGAGGATTTTGAAAGAATTTAGCAAAGTTGGAAGAAAATGGAGAAGTTAAAACAAATAAAAGACGTAAATAGAAATATAATACACACTGTTATATGTAGTACATTTTTATGTGTGCGTTTTCTAGATCATACTTAAATAAAAAATACTTCATACAAAACCCACTAAAGGATTTGAAGGGCATCTTTTATTTAAAAAAAAAAACAAACAAATTAAAATATAAATAGTAAAATATCTATAGCTAGAAACTGTTTGGGGCTCAGGTGCTTAAAAGCGCAATTATTTCTGCTTTCAGTCTTTAAGAACTTAATGAGTTATTCACTGTGATATGAACTCTCCATATCATATTCAAGTCCAGTCACAACACAGAAAACAAAGAGAAGCAATAATGTACAGTTCAAACTCCAGCAGAGGGCAACGAAACACTTGCCAACACAAACGTAAAGCACTTTTCTTTCTTTAAAATGGAAACCCATCATACAAGCCAAAAAGACAAACAACCAGTTATGACACAGCAAATGCACACATCAAAAGGGAATAATAATGTGTTTTGTATTTCCCTTTATTTGTCTAAAATTTTGACATTTAAAAGCATCCATATTTGATAGAAAACTACATGTTAGTATTTATAAAAGCTTGTGTTGTAACAGGCTGTCACCGTTTGGTGTGGGTGCATATCCTTTGGGAACATTAGGTCCAGCTGCAGCTCCATAACCTTGAGTCAAACAGATTGTAGTATTTCACCATCACACTACACGAGGAACATTTAAAACAAAAAATATACAACCACTTACCATTGGGTTTGGCTCCATATCCATTGGGAAGTGCTCCATTTCCATAACCTTAAGATCAAACACATGATTACAGAAAGCTACAAATTTCAGAACCATATTTTGTGACTGGTTTGCAATTCAAGTATCACCTGTCTGAGGTCTCACTGCACCTGCTCTGGGGCCTCCATATCCTGGAAGACATACATGAAAACCAATTATGTCTTAATTTCATTTAGATGAAAGATGAAGAAACTGCTTTGAACCACTATTAGATCAAGAGGTGATTGTCTTACCGTTGGGTTTTGCGCCATATCCATTTGGAATATTACCAAACCCTAAACAAAATTGCATCACAGTTATTGTAGCAAGATCCACATATTCTTTAATGTTAACCAAAAACAATCCTGCTAATACAAAATGGGTAAGAACAAATAATAGTCAAGATATAGTTATTGCTTTAAACACCCTTCACCCCTCACTCGTCTGACATTGTGTGTCATAAAGGTAACACTTTACATACATCCAAAATTAATTAGATATAAGTAATTGTGGCTCCATGATTACCTGGTTTTGCTGGCTTGGAAGCTCCACCATTCGTCTGGTATCCGTAACCTCAACAGTTTAACAATCAGCAATGTTATTATAACTATCATTATGAGTGGTATGACACATACTTACACACATAATTATATGAATCATCATTATAATACGTTTCTTGCATATTAACCCACCATTTGGCACAGCTCCATTTCCGTTTGGTGCTCTGGCTCCAGCATAACCTTTGACAACATTAGATTATTTTAGGCCTGAAAATATTTAACCGTACGTGACATATTGTGCTCTGTGTGATGTTTACCATTTGGTTTTGCGCCTTGTCCGTTGGATGCACCAGCTGCAGCACCATAGCCTAGAATATTAACATTATTACATTGAGCTATATAGGAAAACATGTCATCTATAAATGTGGAAATCATCTGTGTAGATTCTCAGTGATCCAGGTCATGGTTTTCTAAGAGCTTAAATTAGAATTTCTTCAACATCTTCACACCATCGCTACACAATAAACAACGCAACCCTGATCAGTGGAGGGGGTCTACCCCACCACTTATCAGGTACTTGTAATGCAGTCTTGAGTTCTCTTCCCAGAAAGTTTGATCACATTTAACATCTCGAGTCCTCCCTCACCTGTCAGTTTCACAACCATTCACACACTGAGGCATGTGAGTCCTGAGGCTTTAATGAACCATTAGCCATGTGAGTTCAGGAGGACAACAAGATGAAGCCTCTTAGAGAGGTTAAACATTCTCAAACAGAAAAAAGAAAAATCCAGTTGCCTTCTACTGAAGCTCCAAGACATAAAAAAGACTACACTTTGTTAACATGGCAGTAGCGTCTTTCTACCTTGCTTAGGGCCCTTCATCCCTCCATTTCCATAACGAGGTCCCATACCCAAACCAGCACTGCCATAACCGCCATTGTAGCCTATGAACACAGGTCGCACACACATTAACACATTAACAAAAAGCATTTGTTTAATTCTTCATTGGATCCAGAAGTGAGTCGGAGGGTATATAGCTCACCTCCTCTGGGCTGAGCTCCATGACCATTATAGCCATTACCACCATACGCTGGAAGAACAAATACAGACATTGTTACTGGTGTATAAAGTGGTGTCTTCAGTGTTGTGCCATGGTTTCCATTCACCTTTCCCCTGGTTCCTGGCCAGCTGAGGTACTCCCAAACCTCTGGGGACTCCCATTCCCATACCTGGACCTTCAGCCAAAGAGGTACAGGTTGATACATGTTGTGTCAGACTGAGAGCTTTGGTTTCCTGGACAACGAGGTAATTGGAGATGAGTTACCTGCACCATATGGTGGTCGGCCATATCCCTTCATGGGTTTACTTCTAGCTCCAGCCTGACCTGATAGACAGAGAACCAAGCATAAGATACAGAAAAAAACATACAAAAACTGTAAACACTCATATGAACCCTTTACATCTCGTACCATTTGGTCTTGCTCCGTTGCCATTGGATGCACCAGCTGCAGCTCCTTGACCTACAGAATGACTATTATTAATAACAATGTGACACAGTTTACTGTCATTTTTAAATTTCAGCCTTAAAGTATAACCTCACAAATAGATGAGAGGATTTTCATTAATCTACAAACAGTACACACTACAATAGGCAAAGGAGCTCAACTGTTCCTAATTTTTTTTTTTTACTCCATTTTGACTCCAGATTGATTGTTTCAGTAGCTCCCAAATAATAAACAGACATCAGAAAAGCACTTTAAGAACCATCATACCGTTGCCTTTTGTTCCGTATCCATTGGATGGACCAGCTGCAGCTCCTTGACCTGAAGGATAATCATTATATTCAACAGTGT